CCAACCCAGACCAGTCTGTGATTCTATGAAGGCAACAGATGAGATGAGAGCGGGGGAAGTACAAAACCCAGACACGGTAAGGGGCAGATGCTGTACAGCAACACTTGCTTACAACACCTCACTCAAAGAGCAGCTTTTAGTAGAGACACATCAGCATGTTCATATGCAGGTATGAAGAGAAGGTTACCAAGCTGATGTACAAATTATGAAAGATTAAGGAAAAGGGACACATTGAAGTCACAGCACGACTCATCCAGACTCCTCCGCCAGGCTGAAAACTAAAATCATCGGCTTGTTTTTGAACCTGGCTCTGCAGAGACATTAGTACAAGGCTTTGCAAAACATTTGAACAGAACAAGAGAGCTGGTCAACAGACTTGGTCAGAAACAACTTTGTATGTATTCAAACCTTTACAAATAATTTTGTAAGTGCCCTATTTTATATGCATTCAAACCTTTACAAGTCATTTCTGTCACTGCAGTGCCCTAAATCTCACTGCAGGTTTCTGTGGTTAGATCCTCTAGCAAAGCAGCTTGGCTTCTCTATTCCAGCCCTGCACACACCTTTTTTTTCTGGTGTGGTGGATATAAAAATTACTTTTCAGAGGGTGACGTACGGTTTGCCAGACAGCACTTCTGGTGATCAGTATTCAGTTGTCCCACAGAAGATATAAAACAATTTGCCTGGTTCCAGGGAGGCAGCTGAACCAAAGTCCACTAATTTAATTGTGAAATCTTCAGAATTGACAATGTTTTCATCCTTGATATCTCTGTGAAGGATGTTTCTACAGCAGAGATATCCAACAGCTGATACAAGCTGGAAGAGGAGTAAAGAATTAGGTGTTACTACATAGAGGTGTCCTTCTGAATAATCTACGTGGCATCACAGAGTTCCAGTAGCCACATTTTGGCTTGTTTTGATGCTATATAAACAGGATATAGATCCTAATTTTGAGAGCTGGAAACGAACTTGGGCATGCCTGTCAGCATTGCTGCAGTGGGTGTTACAAATGCTGTTGGGAGAGAGACTTAAGAAAGCCATTGCTTGCTTTCCTCTCACAAATGTGCAGTAAGATAGCATGCTATAGTCATGATGTGCTTGGTTTTTTGGTTAGAAGCATCAGCGCTTACTGTTACAATCCTGCAGGTTACTATTTTTATCCCAGCTTCATTTGGAGGGTCCTTTGATTTCTCCAGAAGGATATTACTGTGTGCCTCCGATACTGCAGGATGACAAAGCATTGAAGAGTGAAGTTTGGTATAAATAATATAGTCACTCCTAAATTCCATTCTTCTTTCAGCATGATTCATGCTGTAGTACCATAATTAAGAATAGCATCAGAATTATATCACCTTGGAGACAATCGTGATCCCTACCACAATACATTTCAGCAAGAAAAGCAGATGGCTGAGGGAGAAGTTTCTATTTATAATACAAAGCTTCCTCTGCAGAGAAATACTGTACAGATCTGAAGTAATAAAGTATCCCTGCAAACTCCAGGTTGGTTTAGGAAAAGGGCTTATCAGTCAGAAGTCTAAAGGGACTGTAGATGGCAATTTGTGGATGCCCGCTACACAGCAGACACCGAGAAGGTGCATCGTTTTGGCTACCATCTTCCATCAGCACCCCAGGCCAGGGGAGTGTGGACACAGTGGTGGGTTACCACATGCAAAGTAGTTCTTGCATACCTTAGAGCAAGAAATTGACTTCAAAACATGTGAGGGGGAATTACCTGGGGACTCAGTTGTGGTTAACTCAGTGAACAAAGGACAATTCAGCTCTCGGGCAAGCTTCTGACTCATAGTAAAATACCTTGAGTTATTTTGCATTATGCCACATTAAATTCCAAGATAATTTATTGATTTTAAATTCCTTAAAAAGCGGAGAGTCCTTTATCCCTGAAACTAATCTAAATCAAGCATTGACCTAAGTGAAAGTGTGGCTTTTAGTGAGGTTTGGGGCAACTTCCACATGCTTTCCTCCTCCCACAGAGGAAATTGGACTGCTACATGAATGGGCATCCTGGTGACAGGGAGTGTGTGCTGCTACAATCACAGCCAAGAGGCGATGCCTCTATAGGAAATCCTCATGTGAAGTAAGGTCCCGTAAAAGTTTGTTACAGGTTTCTAAGTAAACCTTAAAAAGGTTTCTGCAGGTAGCGTTGCAGTTAACTATAAATCAGCCCCACAGAAGAATGAGGAAAAGTTCTGCAGGTATTGAGTGTGACTCTGATTCAGCACACCTGCTGATTAGCCAGTAATTCTTTTGAGTGAAATACAGTCCTGGTTCTTATATTAACCAAATCTTACCTGCATGTAGCAACTGTACATTCCCAGCTCTCACCTGTCTGAATATATAGCTCGCCAATAGCTCATCCAAGTTTGGCTGATTATCAATTAATGTAAAGAGATCCAGACCAGATCCATGTTTCTCCATCACCAGCTGGAAGAAGTGTTCATTTTCAAATACATCCAGCACCTATAAATAACAGACTTCCTTAAATCATGTGCTTCATCCTCAAACTGCCCTTTAAAAAACAAAACCAAAACAACAACCAAAAGCCTGTTCTCTTCTTGGAAATTTAATCAATGTATATTATCATCTTTGAAGTCTCATTTCACTGAGCACAAATGTCTCTTGAAAACAGAGTGTAATTAAAACTGAAAGCAGAATTAAACCCAAGAATTCTCTTTCTGGGGGAAAAAAAAATCAAACAAAAACAAACCAAAACCAAACCCAAACCAAAACAACACAAAAAAAACAAAAGCCCCAAAACAAAGAACAGGAATCAAGACACGTATCCAGATTATTTACTGAACTGGTACATGTTCAGGTGTGACATCACTCTTCCAAAGTATGCATCCCGTCATCTTGAAGTGGCATACAGACTCTTTTTTTCTGTTAGACTCACACCTCCAGAGCTCTGTTTATGCCAATTGTTTGGGGTAAAAGTGTCAAAGCAAGTGACAGTCTGCTGTAACATATCTTCCAAAACAAAGGAGGTAGGTTCCTTTCTTTCCTGAAAAGGTAGATTTAATACAAGACACTTCCTGACTCTTGAAGGGCAACATGAGACACCGAGTATTCAAAGGAACCATCTGATGCAGTTCAAACTGCATTCAGCCTGAGGTCACTATACCTTAATGATACTGGGGTGCTGCAGCTTCAACAGGATTGCGATTTCTTGAGTAACTCTTCCCAGATCAGGATCATCTACCCAGCAGTCCTCAAGCACCCTCTCTTTCCAGATGAACTTTACAACAACCTACACAGACAACAGCATTCAGCATCACCTGCACAAGTATGGCTTTAAGTGTTTGATAAGTTAATTTCCAGGAAAAACATCAATGAATCACATTACCAGAAAGACAGAAGTAATCCAACGTACATTGTTTATAGTATCTTTAAACATATTTAAACTAATATAGTCCTGGAAGCCAAACAATGCACAGAAATGGAAGATATTTATTTTCTTTTTATTGATCCTCTGAATTCCAAATGCTTTGACACTGTCCTGGTTTTGGCTGGGATAGAGCTAATTTTCTTCTCAGTAGCTAGAACAGTACTGTGTTTTGGATTTAGGATCATGTGGTGGTTTGGGTGGATTCATCCTTTGGGCTTGCACCTTGCAGCCAAACACAATTTGCTCTCTCACCCTCCCCCCCACACCCAGGGAGTAGGGGAGAGAATTGGAAGGAAAAGGGCAAGGAAACTCATGGGTTGAGATAAAAACTATTTACTAATTAAAATAAAATGATAATGATAACAACAGTGATAATAGAATACACAAATGAGCGATACACAGTGCAGTTGCTCACCACTCGCCGACCAATGCCCAGCTTGTGCCAGCCAGTGATCCTGGAGCTGAGACAGTCCTGAAACCGAAACCCCAGAAGAGCACGCCCGAGCGATCGCCGAGAGAAATAACCTGATTTCCGGTCAGATCTGGTTCATATACTGACATGACATGATATGATCTGTATGCCAGTTTTGGGTTTTTCTGTTCACCGCGCTTCTCCCTCCCAGGCCTAATGCAGCTGTGAACCAGCCAAACACGGTGGCCTTGAGCTCCAGCAGCAACTAATAACATTAGTACTTTTATAAATGTTCTTCTCATAACAAGTCTTACACTGAAACTAAACCACAGCTATTCTAACTACTAAGAAGAAAATTAACTCTATCCTAGCAAAACCAGGACATATGGGATTTGGTATGAGAAGAATGTTGATAACATACTGATGTTGTTAGCTGTTGCTAAGAAATCAAGGACTTTTCAGCTTCCAATGCTTTGCTAGTGTGCAGGTGCCCAAGAAGCTGGGAAAGAGCATTGCAAGACCAATGGACTCAAACTGACCAATGAGATATTCCATACCATGTAATGTCACGTTTAGTATAAAAATGAGGGTTGGCCAGAAAGCTCTCTCTCTCTTCTGGGATTGCGGTTTTAGGATATTCTCTCCTCCAGGATCATTATCCGGGAACAGGCTGGCATTGGTCAGCAGAGGGTAAACAATTGCACTGAGCATTACTCATTTGTATATTCAATTAAAAAAAAAAAAATTATTAATTTGTTCTTATCTCAACCCATAGTCTCCTTACCTTTACCCTTCCAATCCTCTTGCCCATTCT